ATGGTAGGAAATTCGCTTTCTTTAATACGTTGATCATGGTCAGTCAGAAGTTAATCTTTAGAGTACTGCATACGTTATATAAAGTACTTGTTTGGTATTTTAAAAATAAAACTTCATGATCAGTGGCTTAGATGCGAAACTAAAGTACGTATTTCCGATATTGTAAATAGGTATAGCGGTAAATTCAAACTGGCGTTAAGGAACAGAATATTAAAAGACTCCTGTTGGATAACAGCTGCATTTCGCCGAATGAGTGGAGACTTAAATATTCTTCACTCCAAATGATAAAATACAAACATTACGGGAAAAAAATAAAGTAAAATATCAGTGTTTCCGGATTCCTGGGCGTCGCTATTTCTGATTCTACTTCACCGTAAATACATACTGATTACGGTCAGATAGAAAAAATAAACACCAAATCCAAGTTGGTACATTTGTACATAAGACTAACCTAGCCAGTGGTTGAACGGGAACAGTGGTCAAACACTTATTTCAACCGACCCTACCATCAAGATAGGCCTTGGCTCATGAAAATCTGCTTACTTCAATTCATTTCTTATTCCGAAATAATCACTACTTAAAAGAAACGTATTTCATGAGGAGTGGATTTGATATGGGCTACGTTTCCTCCCATAGAAAAAAAACCACGTATTGATCCATGATTTCGGGGGCTGATCAATGCAAATTAAAATAAATTAAATTATCTAGTTAACATGTGTGCCGATTTCTGCCATTGCGTCTTTTCGTCTTTTTGCGTTGTTTCAGACGCGAAAACACGGCGAACGTCGCCCCCCTTTTTTTATCTAATAACACGAAAAGACAAAGTTCGGCAGGTTTTCCCGCATAATTTTATAACACGTTAATGCGATGTTCGGCGGGTTTTCGTGTTAATTATAACAAACGCCGAGAGACAAAAAGTCGACAAAAGTTACGCGAAAAGGCGATATTTTTGCAAGTTTAAAACGGCGCCTTTTCGGGTTCTCTATGTTGCCTTTTCGCGTTTTCGCATAAGGAATGTAAAGCGAAACTCTCCCGTTTTTATTATTTTCGCGTTACGCGTTAGAAACAACGCGAAAAGGCGAATTGGCTGAAATCAGCGACCATACGGTTTTGTGCTAAGCGCAATGTTGGTCCAAAAATTAGCCTTTTGCGGATTTTGAGTGGAAGAGGTTTTAATATCATTGAATATTCGATATTTTAATGGGGTGTTCGAGCACCGGATCCGACTTCCGTCGATATCCGTCATTACACGGTGGCGATTACACAACACCAATTTAAGACGGAAGCAATTTTTTTCTCATCTTGTCCACTTGATATAAAACCAAACTCAGTGGCATTACCATGTTCAACATATTGTTGAAACAGTTTTTTCCTAAAGTATCTGCGTAAAAACAATTGAAATATAGAGTTAGTAAGGATACATTGAATACCTTATGTTTCATTAGACTAACTCTAAAATATGCCTCTTGTGTTTGGAATGGTTGCTCTGTTGAAATGCCAATTGCCTTGAAGAGGGTACAGTTAGAAGCAGCCAGAGTTGTAACTGGCCTATCCTTTGTTGCCTCTTGTGAGGCGCTTTACTTTAAAGCTGGTTGGGTTCCTTTAAAATCTAGAAGAGAACAGTGTAAACTTCCTACTTTTTACAAGATACATAATCGATTAGTACCAGTATCTTTATAACTTGCTTCCTTTTAGAAGAAATGATCTTCATAGTGATTTTCTTAATCCTGATAGCTATCAGATACCATGCTGTAGATTAGATAGTAATAAAAATACATGTATCCCTTCTTCATTAAATGGAATAGTCTCGATGATTCTGTGAAAAGTGCCTCATCTACTTCTACATTCAACACCAAAATATCAGCAGTACCGCGTGTTTTACCACATTATCTTAACGTTGGTAACCGACACCTCTTTGTTCTTTTAGCACGAATAAGACAAAATGTAGTGGTCATAAACGTGATTTATTCCGCGTAGGTTTTTGTGTTTCACCAATATGTCAATGTGGTGGTGGTAATGAAGATGTTTATCATTAATTTTTTTTCTGTTCAAAATTTTCTAATCCTCGAATAAGATTGTTTGATTCTCTGTCAAACATTGGTATCTATCCATTCCCCTCTTATGGGGAGATGCTGATCTTCCTTTCGAAACAAAAAGTAATATAGTAATTATGTAAACTTTATTTATTTTACAACAATTGAGAAACAAGTTATGTCAGTTTATACTGATCACTCTTGTTGACCCGGATTTAAGCGCCCGAGGGGTCTTACTGTGGAAGGAAACCGGAGTACCCGGGGATAACTCACGTGCTCGGGAAGCTGACCCCTTACCTTTTCACGTCCGTTCCGGGAATCGAACCCCGGTCGGCTAGATGAATGGCGAGTACATAATCACTGCGCCACCCGAACACCCATAATATAGTAATTGCTGTACAGTCATTTATAAAATCAAGTAAGAAGTTTGATACTAATTTGGTAGTTTGTATATATATTGAACCTTTTTGCCATCACGTGATAGATTTAGTTATGCCGTGTGTTGTCAGGAGAAAGCATAGTAAGTTCTCAGAACTTGTGTCCAACCTCCCAACCACCCCCCCACCCACTTAAAAAAAACAAATTTGTGTGTGTGTGTTTTGTTTTGTTTTTTTTTTACTTTAGATAGAAATGTTTGAACCAACACCGATTTAAAACATCGACAAATATTCAGTTTAAAACAGTCAAAAACTATTATTACATGTTGTGTTTGAGCACGCCTTGTCTGTGTGTCCGTCAGTACAGAAGAAAACTCTGCACGTGATAGTGCTGGAAAGACTACCATTTAAAAAAATAGCATCGGTGTTCTGACAGATTTTGATGTTCAGCATAATAAACATATCATGTGACATACATGTCACATGTATACATACTTGGCACATGGATATAAACCCTTCCTTTATCAATATCCCGGTACTGTAGAAGTCAGTTACATAAACAAGGAAAATTCTTTTTTTAAATCCCTTCCTACTGCCTATAATTTTTTTTCCGGCAGGAAACGGAAACATATTTCTTGGCTTATTCACCAAGAGACCAACAATATCCTCTGTTTATTTCATCACCTAACAGAGATATAAGAGCTGATAGGAACACGAGCGGCTAACTGGTCCTCCAACACAACATAATTATTTTTCTGTGCTTTCCAGTGCAATCTGTGGGAAATACGTAAATACCCGTTGCATAAAAAACGGAAAACGAGAAAACAACAACAACAAAACATAAAATAGATAAATAAATAATATGACAGGAAAAGCACCCACTTCAAAACACTTCACTAGACACTTGTCGTTAATTCAAGTGCGATAAATTATTATTTGATTTTAATCAAAAAGGAGTTGTTTCGACATATAAAAGTAAACCAGGTCGTATATTATGATAATGAATTAAAGATTGTACAAAAGACACAAAAGTGAAAGAGCGTCTTTCAATACTAATGTCTTCCGGGACTCATCAATGATGCTAAGGGTTGTAATTTTTAGACCTATGAGGCGGTTGAGGAAAATCAAAATTGATCAAAAGAACAAAACCAGAAAAAATGAAATGTACTGAAAATGTAAGAGTTAAGCATAACAAAACTGATAGGAATGCATAGAATGTAAACATTTTGATACAATAAAAGGAAGACAGAATGTATGATGAATATCGACAGGTTCAAAATAAAGCTGTAGAGGATCTCGTGTTTCTATAAGGGAAGGGGGTGGGGGTCAGTCGAGTGTGACTCTTATCCGTGTGATTTAAAAACAGCAGGTTCAAAATACATTTGTATCTATAAAAAGAAGATAATATTATTCCTTGTTTAAATTGAATTAGTTTAAAATGTCATGACTCACTTTCCGTTGAAATTGTTTTCTTATGAATCTATAATCAAACTCCTTGCTTTCACACTAACATACATTTCATATTCTACGAAATGATAGAGATAAGCTTTGATCAGTGAAAAATAGCAGTTAGATAGGGACTTATCAGTGACCAGTCATTAATTATAACTTCATCTGTTCTTAATTTATCACCATGTAAATACATTCAACACGGAAATATTGCGCAATATAACAATTAAAAAAAGTTTCAATATGTCACGTTTTAAAATGTGTGACATATAACTAAGCCAAGTCAGAATGAATGACATTTCTGTGTGTTATTTTCAAACTTTATAGACCTACAGTGACATTATGCAGGTAAAGTCTATCGGTTATTTTCGTTTGTAAAACTCGGTGCAAAATATTTAAATGTTTTGTCGATGAATTGTTACTGATTCATTCCATCCAAGGCAGTAACATCTGATTTGTGGTTAAATCTGCGTTCCTTATATATATATTCTATTTGGCCAAGATCAGTCTTAGTTACTTAGACAGGGGAGGGAATCGCATTAGTTTGTACAGATGGAGTACTTTTATGAAACAAACTATAGTCGGCTCTCTTTATCAATAAGTGCGGTAGACGACATGACGTCACTTCAGGCTAGACGACTGAATGTTCATTTGCCTGCCGCCAGACACATCGACCAACGTGCCCTCCTGTTTTTTTTCCTTATCTGACCACCAAACTTACCCTGTAATCGCCTTAAATCCTCTTGTCCATTGAAATAAGTATTTTGTTAATTGAAAATGTTTTCAGCTTCTCAAAATAAAATGTTAATGACTTCCAATTTAAAATTTATTAAAGGAGACTTGTGCGAGGGAGGTGAAGGGAACGGCGACATTAATCAAAACATACGGCCATGCCGTATTCTCATACTTTCGTCCAGTTGTATCACAAAACGCCTTTGTGTCATTTGTCAAACTTCATAAACGTGATACGGAGTTTATATTAGGATGCCAGTAAGTCCGGCACGACAGCGTTAAAGCTTGATACTAAAATTAGGTCATAATACACTGCGTCAGCGCAGTTGTTGGAACAGCCAACTATTCGGTCGAGAGACATCGGTGCGCATAGACTACATGTGTGACAACAAGGAACGGAGAGAGAGAGAGAAACCTTGGAGGATTTTAATGCTGTGTGAACAGAAAATAAGCTTTGATGGAACATCTCGCTCATCAGGGTCTTAATCCCCATGTACAGCGGGTCTTGAAAAACTTTCAAACGACTGCGATGAGGAGTTTACAGGGACCAGGGCCGGGCGGCTTTCCGAGTCTGCTCTCGCCCTCCGACATGGCTGAGCTCGAAGAATACCGTAAAGCTCTAGTAAAGAAACTTCCCTCGGATAAGAGTGTGGATTTTGAATCTCTGAGGGTACCTCCTCCCCCTTTCCCTATTCAGCAGATGCCGGTATTTACACCCGTAGATACGCCGAGTAAAAGCGAGAAAATTGAAACGTTACTAGAGGAAGAGAGGATTGCCTGTTTTCTAGTAGGAGGAGAAAAGAGACTCTGTTTACCGCAAATTCTCAATACTGTATTACGAGAGTTCAGTTTACAACAGATCAACGCTGTTTGTGACGAATTACATATTTTTTGTTCAAGATGCAACCCTGAACAACTTCACATTCTGAAGGTGACGGGGATTTTGCCCCTAAACGCACCGAGTTGTGGACTTATAACTAAAACTGATGCTGAACGTCTTTGTAATGCTTTGCTTCATAGAACACCAGAAAAATTCAACGAGCCCCCTTCACCAGATAGCTTCAAAGTCTATCACGAGTGTTTTGGAAAGTGCAAAGGCATATTTAACCCGGAGTTGTATAATAATGCCGACGCTAAATGTATCCAGTGTGTGGATTGTTTGGGATCGTTCAGTACCCTGAAGTTTGTTTGTCATTCTCACAAAGCCCTGGAAAATAGAACTTGTCATTGGGGATTTGACTCTGCGAATTGGAGGTCCTATCTCCTCTTGGCTAAAGATCAAGATGGAAAGGATAAATTACAAGATGTTCTCGAAAGAATGAAAATCAAGTTTGATTCGGGGAACAAGTACAAGCGAAAACAGGTTAGTTGCTATAAATAACATTTCCGTTGGTCATGCTTTGTCTGTTTTATGTTCGCATTCCTTGTTGCTAAACATTACAACCATATTATGTTATCATTCAAACAATATTTACAATATTGTTGTACATTGTTGTTGTAGTACATTTAGAAACAGTTTTGTACATTGTACATTAGATGTATACCTGAATGCATATTTACATGTAGATATGTTTGTATTTTACATATGTATATATACCCTGTCCTCGAATTGAGAATTTTGGCAAGTACTTGAATATCGTGAATCTGTAATGCACACGGTGCCAAATTTATTTGCAAGCTGGCGAACCTGTTCAACTCTATAAATGGATTCGACCGCAAAGGTTGTTTACTCCAGCTCAGAACTGGTGACCCCCCCTCTTGAGCGGATTACTCTATGATCCCCGTTACGTAACGGGCTAGGCGACCCTGTTAACGACCGGAAAAGGACCGACCCATTGTTACCGAGGGGGTTACACTGGAATTAACTTTCACTAAACGATTAACAATTGACAACTAAATAATAATATCAATATGTCTAGAACATGTAGCTTAAATTTCTTTTTATTATTCATGTTTAAGTATAACACAAATATCCATGGGCCAGTCTAGTCTACATCTAGATTGACATTAGGCAATTAATGTCTCCATTTTGAAACCATACGAATATATTCCTCTTTTTAACAAGTATAAGACAGGAATACAATACAAGCATTTTTCATCAAAAAGCATGACAGCTATGACAACCTGGCAAATTATGAGTCGTATTGGTACAAGATTGTTTTGGTACTTTTAAGGATGTTTGGACTTATTGTTTAATTAGGTTTTTAATGTGTTTTGCCATTGATAAATCTTTCTCATTCCATTACTCATAAACTGTTCACTCAAAATGACACTCTAGCTGTGAAAACCATTTTGAAATTACCGAAACGACTTAGTAAGTACCAAAAGAACTGGGTACTGAAACAGCTTGGTACCAAAATGACTAAAATTTGAATGCAAATGATATATCTATTCTGTACATTTTGTTGAAAATATATATTGATGTATGGTAGATGTATTTTGCTTTATTTTGAAGTATGGTTGATTACCTTGTTAAGAAATCTTTCCTGATAATGAATCATGAACGTAATGTTGGTGGCAGCAGAGTATCATTCCTAAGAAATCAGTCATCAAAATTTACAAAAAATAATTTGTTTTGCTCAGAGTATTGCCAAATATACAACACTGGGAATGAATTGTTACTTAACATTGCAGTGTGCAGTCATGCATTATATTGTTTATGTAAAAGTTGTTTGTGCAATTGAATATCAATCCACCCATATCTTATTTCACAAGACAGCTCTGTATACAATAAGTTCATTGTAAATGTAACCAATAATATTGCATGTTTTCTGCTAAAGTGTAAGACATGTAAAATCAAACTGTACTCGCTGTTCCTAGAGTTCAGCTTCCTGTTAGTGTCATGTTATGTAAGAATTTTACAAAACAACAATCTGTTATCATAAACAAATATCTTCAAGTTTTGATGATTACAAAATGATAAGCTTTTCAAAACAACAGTTTAGAAAATATGTCTTTGTATAAGTGGGAAACTTGGTACATTTTTTTTCTAATGCACCTTTATCTATAGCTGCCTTTTCTGATTTTCTCAAAAATTTGATTGTGTAAACCTACTTTCTTTTGTCTGGGAAGTTTTTTGGAAAGTTTTGCAATGAAAATTGTTTTTAACAAGTTAAATTATGGACAAGTAGACACCAACTTTCAGGTTTAAAACTTTGATAAGAACTACATGACTGTTTTCCTTGCACATCAATTAAATCATGAATTTAGATTCTTAAAAAGTCATTGTTTATTGAACAACAATTACAAATCAAGATTTTCCAACTTGTAGTAATCACTCTTGCTAGTCTAGATGGAAGTGTGCCAGAGGTCTTACAGTGAGAAAGAAACTGTGCACCTGGGGAAAAACCCATGTGGTCGCCCAGGTGATGCCATACCTTTTCACCTCCATTCTGGGAATCGAACCCCGGATGTCTAGGTGAAAGACGAGTGCATTACCACTCTGAATTTAACATGTAGTACACACAGTTGTAAGGCTTGGTGCATTCATGTATCTATTGACTTTCAGAAAAATGTCTCGAACATGTTTCAGTTCAATGACTAGCTACCTACATATGAAGATATACAAGCATTTAAATAACTGATTGACCTTCACATTGGTTATGAAACAGAAGTTTGAGACACTTTATTAATAAAACAAGTTTACTTGTCTGGGTATTGTACTACATTTGCTGTCTGTCTATCGTTCCAGTCTACCAACAGTCATAACTGACTTGTGTGTATTCTTAAAAGCTTACCTGTTGTAGCCAAATAAGTGATGACAAGCAGGGCAAAGGGAGACTGATAATGTACTTAAAATTTTACAAGGTTTATTCATAATTTACGAAAGTAGATTTCTTCATACTTCTGGTATTTCAGAAATTGCAAAAGTTGGTATTAGTGAAAGAATGTCTGTATATTTTAAACTTTATCTGAGCTAAAGAATTGCATTAAAAACATTGAATGAAAATAGTTTTCACCAACTCTAGATTTTAACAATAAAGTTCAGGTTTTGCAAGAAATAAGGTCTTTATACATTGTGAATTGGTATTCAAAATAATTGTTTGAGGAAATTGAGAAATGTCACATCACTAGAAAATGTATTTTGAAAGTTTAAGCTTAGGTTGTTGTTGTAATATGATGACAAGTCCAGGAACCGGATTTCTAGATCAGAGATTATATATCATGTCAGGTAATTGATATACCAGGTAGTGTTGTTAGATTACCTAACACCTGGCCTCAGTCACCTGGGGTTTATGACATAACAATGATTAACGATTACATCACATGGAACTGATTGACCCTTGTATGGACCCCACATGTCTGCTTGCTGTCCCTAGGGGATTAACACTGACCTCTGTGTAGCTCTTATCAGTCTGGGTGGCTGACATTGTTAACCAGGATTTAGTCTGGGATCATTATACAGTTAATATTCACAGATCAACAGGAAGCTTAATAGGGAAATCTTAAGTAGATTGACCACATAAACACATAGTCATAAGTCTCTGAGTAGTATTGTTCTGAATGTAAGTGACGAGCCAATATGAATTATCACAATGAGATTATTGTATCCTGTCAATTGTTTACCCAACAATACTATACTATAGGACAAGTTGGACTGTAAATATTATGTAATTATGCTGCCTCATATAGCTAACATTATACTGAGAAAAGGAATTTCTCGTAAATTTCAAATACATACTTACAGCTATAGACTCCAAATTTGGATTATACAACCGTAACTTCAGTAAATTTACTTACAAGTTTAAAGAAGTCTGAATTTTTAATTGGTTTTAAGTGAAATAAACTTAATTGATAGATATTATAATTAGGTGAACACTAGTGTAAAGTTCTACTTCTAACTTTTATTGTAATCTTATTGGTGTATAGTTTTAATTTTGATGTTCTTTGAATAATAGACAGAAGAGTTTAATAAAATTTCATAGAGACGAAAATCTTTAATTAAGTCTTCATGTTCATTTTTTTAAAGTGTACCATATGAATTGATTGGAATCTTACAGTTTATGTGTAGTTTATCTAGTATGAGTTAGAATTATTTCCAGCAGTATTTTAGATTTTGAAACAGATTATTTTACATGGCATCAGTATTATATCAATGAACGGAATTTCAAATACTTATCTATGAAGTCTGTTGTACCATATTTTGATATTTAAGTTGAAAATTCAGTTAATGATTATGCTATGAAAAAAAAATTAAAACAGACTTGTCAGTCTTCATTTTTTTCTGAAGCTATGAACATTTTTTTTATTACTTTAAAAAGACACAGTCTTGCTTGTCAGCAGGACAATAATATAGTAAAAAGCTAGATATAACCGTGTGTACACTGACTTGGCACTGTGCCAAGGCTGAGCACACAATCTGCTAGTAAAACAGTGGAGAAGACATTTTTAGAAAGCTTTGTTAGCTTTTATATCACATATAAAATGATAAACCATGGCAAATCATTTGATATGAATTATATAAATCAACATGTTTCTTATTTTGTGTGAAAAATTATATAGAGTGTTCTTTAAGATAATGTGAATCATTAATTTGTTTGAATTTAATCAACATTTTGTATATTGAACTACATTTTTTTTAAGATCCAAACCTGCTGTTAAAAATAATTTCATAATGTTCCATGTTGTGTATGTGGGCCTTAGGGCTTCATTCTAAAGCTCCCAAGTTATATTTTGAGTATATTTAGTCTGATGTCTGCCACAAAGTCTGGATACAGTATTCTGCTGTCCTACTATTATAATACATTATATGTGTAATAAATGTACACTTTTTATAAGGGACCATGATAAAAATATATAGCAATACTAGAGTAGTCTTTTTATCACAGTGTTTTTTTATCATACAATGTTTTATTTATAAATTGTGCAGAACTTGGAAGGTGGCAAGGATTGTGATGTTGATTGAAAATGAAGGGAGAAAACAAAAGTGTTTTTTTGTTAAAATATTCCTAGCTCAAATCACTGCAGATCAGTTCTCCATTTCACTTACAGTAATCCTATTTCAATATGTACATCAATGAATGTTGTTATAACACATACAGTATGATGTACAGGTGTTACTATAAACAGGTATACGGTCCACATTGCACCTGCTAGTATGACAGGGCCTTGGGCATCAGGGTGAACGAAGGTCAAACGGCTAGTCTTACGTAATTATTGGCTATTACACCATGGTATTTGTCCTTTGACCTTTGTGAATGGTGTCTGTCACATACATCACCTCTGATAATTAAAAGGCATTTTATACCAATTATGTGAGACAAGGATATGAGTTATGTACTTTGCAGTCAGTACATCTTTAAGCATTAAGGTTCATAATGCTTTCTTATTTAAAGTTAGGGATCACTCTAGGTTTATATGGAGTAATAACCCTTTTCTTTTCTGGAATGATGGAAAATTTCAGATATGAAAAATCCTGTTTATGTAATGTCAGATAATGAAATCTTGTTATTTCAATGGTAAATATAGAAATCAGTTATCGTAAATCTAAATTTATAAATCAGTTATTGCAATGTTAAATATAGAAATTCAGTTATTGTAATGTTAGATATAGAAATCCAGTTTCTGTAATGTTAAATGTATGGAAACCCATGTAAAGTACCTTAATATCTGTTTATGTTAACTCTTCTGAATTTAAAATCATGTGACTTAAGATAATAGGACTTTGGAATAAGACATTCTAATGGGCCAATGGAAATTGTGAATCTAAATTCACACTTTGATTGGACATTAATAATTGCAATATCTAATTCACACTATGACACATTTAACTGTTACAGTATAAAATCATTAAATGATTATCTAGTCTAGTTCCTGGAAAATGTTTATTTCAAAACCCTCCGAAAAAAATTCTCTTGAGAAGATATTACACTTCAAATTTTGTTTTTTAAAAAAGATTTTGGCAATGATCCTGTGAAATCCAACTTTGTGCCAGTTAATATATTGATATCATACATTTAAAATTCTTTATCATATTAGTATTTGACCTCATTCGTTTGAATGGTAAATTGTTTAATCCAAGAATAAAGACAGACTTTGTATGTTTTTGATGAAATGGTATGTACATGTACTTCATGTGTTCAGTGATCTGCTTACCTTTCTGATGTGGATTTAATGCATTTAAATGTTAATTTTAATTCCAGTGACATTTTAAACAACTCATGCCAAGAAGTTTAATGATGTAACTGACACAGTTTAGATACCAACAAATTTATGCTCATAGTCAGTGTTTAGTTTGCGAAAGAAATTTCTGATAACTTAAGAAAATAAATATGCCAATCCATATCTATATAAAACCTGTAGAATTAACAAGAAATACTCTGAAATTATCCAGAAATAAGCATTCTTTGCTTTGAACCAGAGGAAACTCTTGATGTGATAATCCTATGGGCTTAGGTGTGTTCCTGCTAAGATTTGAAATGGGCGGATAAAAAATAGTTTTTTGAAAAAAAAGTAAAAAATTATCTTGTATGATTGTAAGAAAACTCAGTATAAGGACTTTAATAAGGAGTAGCAGAGTAAGACTGACTGTTCTTTGTTAAATATTAACCTGTGTCTGTTGTATGATGTAATAAGAGATTGGATTATTGGAATAGGGATGGGGAAGATGTTTACAGAGGAGAAGGGGAGTGGGGCAATAGAATTTCTGACTCCAAGTTAGAATTAGGGAGGTTGATGTTTTAACAGAACAAAGATAAATTTGATGTAGGTTTTGATAGCATAGGTAGTGGGATGATGATAGACTTAAGACTGTGCAATCATCATTATAACCTCAACTTATTGTTCAATTGATAAGTACTATGCATTAGCTTATATTAGTCTTCTGTAGTCAGTGTCGGTGATCAAGGTGATATTGACATAGTGCCAGCATGACCAGACCTCTCTGACTGACCTCTGTATATAGCTTGTGTTATTGACCACAGAATTTGCTTAGACTGGCTGACTGCAAGCTTTTAATGTATTGTAGCACTACATGATGGGGGGATAACAGCCACTGGAGACATCAGAAACTAGACGGCCTATATCACTATGTGGCGCTATATTTTTGTGTTTATAATCTTAAGTTATTAAATCTACCTTTTTTCTAACTTGGTCTGTTGTTTACTTTTCAAACATAAATTTAATAGAACCAAATTTGGGTCTAATTCTTTCAACAAAATTATCAATCTAGACTCATTTGTTCAAACATATTTTGTAATGTTATGCAAGAGAAGCTGATTTTTATGTGGGAGAGTGATAGTAAACTGTAAAATGAGGATAAGTTTGTTGTAGTAGCCAATGTCAAGCAATAGACACGCTTTTTGTAATAAAAAATTAAGATAGGCTTGATTCATGTGTACCAGTACACTTATATGTATGACTCTGAAAGTTTAACTCTATGCTAGTTTGGTATCTATTTATAAAATCACACATAGAACTGTAATGCATGATATTCTGGATTTACATTTCGCCGAGGTAATCAGAAAAGCTAATTTCCTCCATTTTTAGGTATGATATCCTTAACAATTGTTATTCAAATGAATAAGGTTTAAATAGGTAAAGTTCAAGGTAAGAAGGTCAGCAGCTGTGTTGATTCATGATAATTGTAATTGTAAGTCATCCTATTAGTTCAAGCTGCATATTATTGATTTCATCAATATTTAAGTTCAAGAGATATTGTACTTGGTTTTCCTATACATTTGATTCGGATGGACAACAAATCGTTATAATTAATATTTCATGAAGAGAGCTGTGCAGTGTTGTTGACAGAGACATACAATGTTGTTGACAGAGACCCCACGATCTGTATAGGTGATCTCTGGAGGTCTGGATAGTACACAATGACAGGTGTATTTATAAAATAAGATAAAATGAAATGAAATAATGTACAATGAAATGAAAGAAAATGAACTTTTAAAGCTTTGTTACATAGGATGATTATATATAGTCCAACTTGCCCACAGATAACACAGAGAAGGAAGTGGTCTACACAGATTGCCTTAAATAGAGGTTTAATTACTAAGAATTGCAATACACAGGGAACTAACAAAAGTGACCTTTATAGACAGGTGGCCTTAAATAGAGGTTAAATTACTATGAATTGCAATACACAGGGAACTAACAAAAGTGACCTTTATAGACAGGTGGCCTTAAATAGAGTTTTAATTACTAAGAATTGCAATACACAGGGAACTAAAAAGTGACCTTAATAGACAGGTGGCCTTTGTATAGAGGTTAAATTACTATGAATTGCAATACACAGGGAACTAAAAAAAAGTGACCTTAATAGACAGGTGGCCTTTGTATAGAGGTTAAATTATTGTGAATCGCAATACACAGGGAACTAAAAAAAAAGTGACCTTTATAGACAGGTGGCCTTTGTATAAAGGTTAAATTACTATGAATGGCATTACATAGGCACCCAAAGGAACAGACTTTATAGACAGGTGGCTCTAAGACAGATTTTACTATAGTGTATCCCCTTATCATAGAGGTCTAATACATGATTTATGGTACCCACACCGATCATATCACTTTATGGTATATTGCCTATATATTTTTTTGCTAATTGATATAGGGTGTGCTTGATGTTACTTGTGTTGATGTGATAATTGTTAAATGTCACCTTACCTTGCAATTAATTGTTGTCACAAAAATAAAAATGCGGGTTACACTCGTTATTTCTTCTTCAAAGTTAGGGAGAGAGGTTATTTCCCAGTACTATGAAACGACACTGGTTCTCATACAACCAGGCATGAGGAGGCTTATTACTAAATACGTTCAATTTGATATTGGAAACGTTAACTAAGTTACAAAAAAATGAAACTATTAGAATTCAAGGTGCCATTGTTTCGGCAAATGTCAATGCTGATTCAAGTTCACATTTGATATTTAGTTGTGACGGACTTGGGTTTACCATATATCTTTGAAATGTTTATTATGTTGATTAGATTTCCATTTAAGATAGAAAACAAAATATGTTTATACATTTATCAGTTATTTGAAGAAAATACTTTGAAACAAACATTTGACATGCAATTTTCATATCGTCAATAGTTCTTCAATTTATGTGCATTGTGTTTTGCTTGACAGACGAGTGAGAGTGAAACATCGGATCTAAAGAGAGCGAAAAGTGAGGATAGTGCTAGTTCTTCAAGCAGTGGATCATGGGCAGATTCTGTGTCAGGGATGCGTGGACTGTCTGCCTTCCGACCGTGGTCACCAAGCATGCTCATAGCGCTCAAGGATGGGAAACTTCTTCCTGCAGCGCCAGCCATCATGAGAGAAGGGTAAGTATCCTAAAGTGGCAAGCCTGGTGCAGTTATGCCGGTCATAATTCTATAAGGATGAGATTTCATTATGAAATGGGAACTGTATTTTTTCCTGCCATACACCCAGGATGTAGGGGCTTATTTCAAGACATTGAAATACCAATTTTTTTACCATTCTCGAGATTAGCATTTGTTATCAGTGAGATTATCATGTAAGGGATTATCACGGCTTAAATACAGTTTTATAAAATGTTTTGAATTGTTAAAATTTTCTTTATGTAAAGAAAAGTGATAGGTTTTATGTAATTATAAGTAAGGTGGTTGCAGGAATTTCCTATATTTCAATGTAATTCTTTATAAATACATACAGTAAAATTCACTTGTGTGGAACACGCTTGAATTAAATACATTGGATAAGTCAAATTTTTCATTTGGTCTTGTCAACTTTGACTTATCCATGTTTTACTGTATGTATGTATATATATATCCTGAAGGAATAAGAAATGCAGGGTAATATGATTTGCACCAATTATTTTAATGTGCTGCCCAAAATTGTGAAAAACTGACAGATGTCTCTTTGCACTAAAATCTTTGCCAATCTTGAAATGCTTCAGATGACAAGTTTGTAGATACATCTTGTCTTATACTTGGTAGTCTGTCGTGTACACATCACTGTCTGTTATTAGTCAATTAAAATTTCTTGCAATCATCGTTCAACTGGAGGTTCAAAGATTTGAGACAAGTATTGCTAATGTAAGGTTTAAGGTGATAAAAGGTTGCTAAGTAGTTCATTGTGAATATGTCCACCATCTTACCCATCTTGTCCAATGTCGGAGAGAAAAACTGAATAACTCTGAAGGATACATCAGCAAGTATTGATGCAACGTATAGACAGAGCTCTTTCTCTTTCCTACTTGTGTAATCGTCATGTGACTATCACTGAAAACGCTTTTGATTCAAAAGGCCATGGTAATCACCATATCTGTCTGCAAAATCTGATTTTCTTGACTTTGGTTTGCAAGATCGTCGACCAAATATGCTGGTTTGTGAATGTTGCGCATGTCGTATTGCTTGGTTGACGGTACATGGTCCCAGACATTTTCTAATGAGGTAATGGATGTGAGTCTTCCTTGCATACAAGTTCTGGTTTTCTCTCTTTGTAATCAGTCGATGTCATGGGGAACACTTTCAATGCTTGCATTCTAATGAGAAGAATAGGTTTTGGGGTGACTCTGTTATGGTCTTGGAAGGAACATCTCATGGAATTGTGGAAGCTGAGAATTTAGATGGCATAAGATTTCATGAGTCTTTGGCTTAGTTGCAGTTCCATTTGTGCAACAGCATTAACTTTCCAGCATGTTAAAGTACAGCCCCATGTAGACAGAATTTGTCAAGACTCTCTTGCAAATCATGATGCAAATCCTTACACAAATCATAACGTTAACCAACTCAACTGGCTTTAGTGCAGTCCAGATATGTCCCTAATCAAACATCTGTGGGATGAACTGAACAGGAAGGAAAGGGGATGTTAAAATGCCCCTGCTAAACTGGACAACCAAAGAAAGGACTGCCTTTTTGGGCGAGCATAATAATTTCCTAGTGATGAGGATAAATGCACTAATGAACTATGTACAGAAGAATCCAGGCTGTGAAAGATGTCTGTCAGTTTCACCTTGTGATATTGTGGAGTACCGTCAAATATGCTTCAGTTACTCATGAATTATGTCAAAATGTAACAATAGTTTGAAGATTAAAGATATTTTTATATACTTATGAATCAATAATTGAAAATGTGTTTGAATCAATAATGTTAACTCTCCCCAGTTTTTTTTAACCCTGCATTTCTTTTCCCTTCTTTGTGAAAAAGATCAGTAAAACACAATATTTGTTGTGTAGAAATTATTTTTCATTTATCTATATTTTTTTATTTGTTCAGGCTTAGTGGAATTCCTCCGCCATATCTACATACAGGGCCACCAGTTCTGCTTCATCCGGAGAGAGTTATTCCCCTTTCAGAATCATCTAGGTGAGTTATCTAATCCTTACAGACATAAAATGTCTTTCCATGATATGTCATGAAAAATAAGTTACTTGTCCACAGCCAGTCCTTAACACATCTGTATGCTGTTAGAGTTACTTTAAGCCCATAGACACTATATACTGAAAACTTTGATAGTAAAGCCAAAATGCATGTTCTATGTTTTGTTTTGGGTTTGTAATGCTGTAGGGATAATCTAAAGTGTTTTCTGCAAGGTCTAAATCATTCCGCGCCCAGTGTTTCCTTGTATACGGTAATGGTTTCAGGCATCATGCCTGCATGAATTTGAGTGACCTTGGGTGTAGGCTTACTTGTCAAAATTAGATATGTCAAAAGACTGCTGAAAAATTAAACGTTTGCATGACCTGGTAGCGTGCAGTGTTTAAAACAAGCTTACCTTAACTCTACATACAAGGAACGAGTTAATAACTAAGGTTTGATAGCAAGACTAGTTGTAATTGCCAACTCGACCAGAAACTGAAAAGATTTTCTCTCCCTGACCTCATTTTGTGGAAGACTATTCTGTATTAGTGAGACATGGTTACACGCAATTTATAATGGTTCTTACCTGTTGTAAACCAAATATTCAACCTAAGTATGATAGGGTGATAAAATTTCCTCCAGTGTATCTAACGTTAGACCTAATATACAACAGATATTACTACTGTAAGCCCACCTACAGAAGCAAAGCATACTTGTAATGCATACCAGAGTTGTTGTGCTTCTTACAAAAACATAGCTGCAACTGACAGCAAGATAATACAGGATCCCTTAATTAAAAATCTATATCTTGTTTGCAACCAGACATACTGGTATTTGTCTCTAGATGTACTTTTCCATGAGTCATTTCAGAAAATGATGTCTTAATCTTACAATTTCTTCAAAAAACCTTCATAATACAGCAGGTTTGAGAATGATTTCAGAATGTTTGGATTTCTGAAAAATCCTGCAACATGTTATAGGTTTGAGAATAATTTCAAAATGTTTGGATTTTCTGAAAAATCCTGCAACATGTTATAGGTTTGAGAATAATTTCAAAATGTTTGGATTTTCTGAAAAATCCTGCAACATGTTATAGGTTTGAGAATGATTTCAGAATGTTTGGATTTCCTGAAAAATCCTGCAACATGTTATAGGTTTGAGAATGATTTCAGAATGTTTGGATTTCCTGAAAAATCCTGCAACATGTTATAGGTTTGAGAATAATTTCAAAATGTTTGGATTTTCTGAAAAATCCTGCAACATGTTATAGGTTTGAGAATGATTTCAGAATGTTTGGATTTCCTGAAAAATCCTGCAACATGTTATAGGTTTGAGAATGATTTCAGAATGTTTGGATTTCTGAAAAATCCTGCAACATGTTATAGGTTTGAGAATGATTTCAGAATGTTTGGATTTCTGAAAAATCCTGCAACATGTTATAGGTTTGAGAATAATTTCAAAATGTTTGGATTTTCTGAAAAATCCAGCAACATGTTATAGGTTTGAGAATGATTTCAGAATGTTTGGATTTCCTGAAAAATCCTGCAACATGTTATAGGTTTGAGAATGATTTCAGAATGTTTGGATTTCTGAAAAATCCTGCAACATGTTATAGGTTTGAGAATAATTTCAAAATGTTTGGATTTTCTGAAAAATCCTGCAACATGTTATAGGTTTGAGAATAATTTCAGAATGTTTGGATTTCCTGAAAAATCCTGCAACATGTTATAGGTTTGAGAATAATTTCAGAATGTTTGGATTTCCTGAAAAATCCTGCAACATGTTATAGGTTTGAGAATGATTTCAGAATGTTTGGATTTTCTGAAAAATCCTGCAACATGTAACAGGTTTAAGAATAATTGCAGAATATTTGGATCTTTAAAAAAAACAAACCTTTCAACATGTATTCTTAATGTTAGGATTTCCTAAAAAATGGTGTAAAATGTATAAAGTAATAGGTGAACGGCTAAAATGAATTTTCAATGGCAGTATACAATGATGTATTACAAAGTCTGACTACAACAGCCTGGGTAGGGAACATGTGGAGATTAATCACATTCAGACTGGATGTATAGTCCTGTAGACAAGATATACTGGGCGATATACCTGTAAGTGTCATGATTAGAGAATGTTGACCTGGCTGTATGGTGTTCAACAGATTACAATCAGGACAAGGTCAGAAAATTAACTGTGTCCTGTGTCTTGCATTGTTAGATTGACAATATACAGACCATATACCCTACCCTATCAAGACACTGTGTTAATTGTTTCCTTATAATGGTTCTCTATACACTCCATATACAATAAACTTTGTTTAAATTTTAATAAGGAATTCTTTTTATTAAATTTCTATATTTAAAGGTTGATAATATTCGACCATTCAATACCGGCAAAGATCTTAAGCAGTAGATTTGCCTACTGCCTAACATAACTTGTGAAACTAAATCAAGAAATGAAAGTTTCATCTGTCCCAGTAGCTTTATTGCCACAGAAATATCCTAAGAATCGGGATTTAAATTGACTAGAAGCCAGAGGTTTTCTATACATAGGATCTCCTACTGGTTTAACATAAAATCTTTTGTCATTGTGACACCTGTCCCATCTGTCTTGATCATAGACTCACCATGTCAATTTAAACAAAAAAAAAATTCGGTCATACCTTGATGGTTACAGTACATTATGAAAACATACCGTTATGTTTGAAAAATGTACCGTTGAAATGTTTAATGTTTAGTGATTGCAGCTTGAAGTATGTTAGAACATTCACCTTGAGATAACGATAAAATTGCAAGGTGTAAACACCTGTACAAGATTAGTATTGTTTTAAAAAAAATCTTATTATTAAATAATGATTCATTTTTCATACAACCTTCTGTTAATTTGAAAAATGGTAATTACTCCGTGGTATGGCATCCTTATTAAATTAAATGGTGATAGAATTATATTGGACTGGATATGCAATAAGTTGTATTTTTTTAATCTATGTACTTTTATTGGCCTGTGAAAAAAGTGTCTAAACCTTGGATTTTGACCGGAGTTAGTATATACTTTTCTCTAAGTACTGTTAGCTGTGATATAAATACGTTATGATTTGAAGCTTATTCATCAGCTATCTTTAATATTGACATATATGATCATACGATGTCTGTTAATGTATACATATCAGTAACTCTTATCAATTATAATATATGCCTAGAGTATTAACTAGTATTAGAGCAAAGAGATAGTTTTGATGAAGGGAATGAACTGTAGGGTTATGTTTTCAAAAAATTTCAGACGGTAATTGGTAGATATAATGGAAATCAACCCAAACACTGATGACCCTTTCTTAGACGAAACCTAGTGAGAAACAAAACAACGCAGTGTCAACATATACACTAAAACATTTTTATCTTTAAAATTTTTTTTTTAGAATTTTGATGATAAAGGTCAACTATAAATAACTGAGATTAGTTCATGTTTCAGGGTTTAAAGGTCAAAGACAAAATCACTGTTATTAGATTGGTACCAGTTTGGATGGTACTAGGATCATAAATATTTATCAGACAACTTCTTGTAATTAGCTTGTTTATAAATATATCAATCAGCTATTGTTGTAACCCAGAACATCTAAGATACAGGAGTCGAAGGATTTATTCCTGATTGGCGAAAACAGGAATATATTGATACATTGTTCTGTACTAACATAGATATATCACTTTGCTACAATGAAAATACAATGGAATTTTTTCTAAAATCATGGTTAAGAATAAGCATTAAGTAAAGTGTTGAGAAGAAATAACCTTTTCGTATGCTACAGTTCCATTCGTGTTGAATAAAAAGTTTCTTTACTAATGAGTTTGTGTAATCGAGTTTTCCTAATGGGATGGAGCTGGAGCGTTCAGCTTTGGGTGTTTAATTCATGCTACTTAATAGAGTATATAGGTCACTGTCCTTTCTATTCTCTGTTCAGATTTTATCAGTTTAGAGACAGGCGGTGAAAAAAAACACAGGATACAGGTGTTACAATATATACACAGACATATTCAGTCAGCTTAAGTCGCATTCTTATTGCTGTGTACAAGATACAAGTGTACAAGAAATTGGGTTTAGAAGCACGTACATGTGAAAAGGAATTAAAACCACAATAGATACAACGGTACATCTATTGGTGTAAATATCAGAAGACAAGAAAACCAGGAACACTAGTAACAATTAGGCAAATGTATTGATAAAAAAATATTCTACTGCTAACTCAAAAATGGATCAAACTATGGTAAAAATTACATTTAAAGAGCCTAAAAAATGTATCAAACTGCTGTTCAAAATTACATTTAGAGAGTCTGAAAAATGTATCCAACTGTGGTACAAAATTACATTTAGAGAGCCTAAAAAATGGATCAAACTGTTGTACAAAAGGATGATATATCTTGTATTGGTTATCATTAATGATTAAAGAAAATATTTGACTAGGACATAAAATCTAAATTTGTAATTTTCTTAAACAACAGAAATAACACTGAAAATCCACGCCTGGCCATATTCTTACACATTTCTTTTTAAGCTAACCAGACTACTTTTGGAGTGAGGACGGCTGTCAGTCCCTTTTCAATGTCCCATTAACCCTTACAAACTGCCGGTCTTTGTGGTTAACCTTTTGTGGTAATGTCACCAAAAAATGTCCTTGTTGAGATTGTGGTGTCACCTGGAACATAAATGGAGGGAAAAGACCTTATTTTCATAGGCAAAACATACATTTCTTAACCTTAGTTTGTGAGCTGTATACACATATATACCTTGTATGTTCTATACCCATTTCAGTATTCTGCACAATCTGCTTTATATGTACCATAATCAGTAACCTCAAACCTCTCCCCCTCCCCCCCCCCCCCTACCCCCCAACCCCCACCCCCCTCCCTGGTTACCTGTGGTGATTGCCATTCGTCCAGCTTTGTGGGTTGTAAGCTTTAACATTTTCAACTTCTTCTTGAAAACCTATGAAATGATTTCAGTGAAATTTTGTAGAAATTGTAAATTATGAGTCCCCACTCCCCAGGGGCATGGGATGGTGGGAGTGGGCAACTTGATTGAAACTGCAAAATCTTCTCCTTAACAGGTACTCTTAATGGATGGTAAGGCCTTCAAATACTTTACTAAAATTGTAAATTTCATGACTTTGTGCTCTCACATTTCCCCCGGGGGAGTGGGTAAAATTTACCATAGTTTATATTGGAAAAATGCAATTTTGAGCATAATTTGTTTTATTTTTAATTAGAAATAGTTAAAACTTAATTAAACATTTTAGTACAAAATGACAGTTTGATGATACACACATATTGATCCTGGCTGGCCTCCAGCAGCTGGCTGGCAAGGCCAAAAGTAGTGAAATTGTCTTAAATTCACAGATCTTCTCATCATCCAAATATGATAGAATCTTTTAACTACTGTTCATAGCTTGAAGAGTTTCTTAAGGAAAATAATTTTTTTGGGTGCAATTTCTTTTAATACAATGGATTTAGAAGCATGTACAATGTAGTTCAATTTATCTGGCTTTATTACGAGACTTTTTCTGCGACTTTTTATGAGAACAATGACAGCATTGTAACTCAGGTGACCGTTAAAGCCCTTGGGTCTGTCGTACAGGTTATATAGCCAAACAATAAAACCACAATATATATAGGGAATATTTATGAAGGAAAACAACCTATTTTGTTTCATGTGTTGTATGAAATGGTATAAAATATTGATGGAGGAGCAGAGTTTACTGTTGTAGAGGACAGTAAAGTATGGAGGAAAGATGATATATTTATGATTAGGAGAGGTGGGGAAACCACACATTAAGATATGTATCTTTGTTTTTATAAAACTTGGTCAGAAATATAATGATGACCGGAATCTAGAAACAGTTAATTACACAAGTTTATTATTCTTGCTGGGACTGGAAGTTGGAATTAGCTTCTAAACATCATGGGCTAGCACTAAATTCACTTAAGCTTGGTGTAGATAGCAAGCAAGTTTTCCTGTTAGTGTTAAATCTTCTACCATGTCAAGAAGTGTTAGTTTCAGTCAAACTTGGTCGGCCTAGACGGGAAGCACTTGAGTAATTGATGTAATTCAATGATAAATTTATGTTTCAGAAATAAATTTTTTAATTGTTTTAGATATGAAAGAGGATTTGCACCAAACGTATCTCTGGCCCCAGCCTCACAGCAAAAGCTTGATCTTGATGATGTTTCCGAAGATGAAGACACTCCAATTCCGGATAGGAAGCCAACGCCTGAAAAGGCAACAACAGTCACATGCCATAATATGGAGAAGTCGTCTTCTGAGTATCGAGAATGGGAAGTGCTTAGTGAATCGGAGGATTCTTCTCAACTATCAGATGGTTAGCATTCAGAAACTCTTAGTCCTATTTAGTCCATATAAAATAAAGAGAAAATCTGCCTCTTTTTACCAGCAGTACTTTCCATATCTCAGATGCATTCACTTTTTGTCTTGCATATCATAAATTTTGATAATATGAAACAATTAAATATAGCAAGAAAGATGGTTAGCAGATTTATTTAAAACAGTTTTATACTAATGAGTTCTGTTATGGCAAATTAAATTAATTTTCATGATTTCAGAAGAAAATCGGTCAACACTTTCCCCGAAGTCAGCGAAGGTTGTAGAAGTAGAGTTGGAAATGGTCCAGAGGGCTCTTAGTGGAAAAGTTGGAAGTTCTCAGGAAGAACAAGAGGATTTCTTGAAGGAATTCTCTAATTTACAGAGAAAGCGTGAAGAGCAACTGAACAGATGTATCCAATCAAAAAAGTCTCTCAAGCAGGTAACAATTGCTTTCGCAGGTGCACAGTAATTATAACCTGATATGCACATTGCATTTTAAAGTTGCTCTTGATAACACTGTTTACAGAGAAGTTTCTACAGGCTGTGTTAAGATTGTAAACTTCCGACATGCATTAAAATAACTTTCCCTGAATAAAGGGGTGGAATGTGTTGTACTGTCAAGTGTGTTATGTTGAATAATCGGCGGTTTCTGAAAAGCAAATTTTGTGCCAAATTCAAGCATGAGTTTTAGTAAATCTACTTAAGTTTTAGTAAATCTACTGCTTTAATGGTTAAAACTTAGATAAATTTGTTATTGTCTGTATGAATCAAGGTATTTGTTGTCAAACTGACAATGTTACAAATATATCTTTACAGGAGTTATCCGCCCTTAAGACGTCAACAAGGGAAAAGTTGCAGCGACTAGCTGATCAGAACGAGAAGCTAGAGAAAGACATGGAGAAGATGAGGATAGAGTCAGAATGTCGTCTAGAGGAAGCACAAGATGACAAGGAGAGGCTACTGAAGGAAATCAAACGCTTGCAAGGTCATGACAATATTGAGGTAAGGTCAAAATGTAGATATAGGAAATTCACTTCTAATGAATGTTAAAAAGTAACAGTAAACAAAGGTCATGACTAAGCTGTGTAGTTGCATTTGAGATACTCTAGTGAGTATATGGAAGAAATCTGTAGATATGATAAAATTGGGAAGGTTTAAACCAGTCTGTTGATTAGTACGGGGACAACATACATTGAAAAATGAGGAACCGTAGAATTCCACATTTCCCAAAAAACTAGGTTTTCTGCTTCAAGTTTTCTGGGTTTTTTTCACCAGAAGGTCATCAATTTCTTTTTCATCTGACAACAGGTTGTGTTGGAGTCTTGCATGGTTAGATTTCTGAAGGTTTCTCTTATCAATTTATCTCACCACTGACAGTGCATCTGGAGAAGAAGATGCACTTGTGTGGTCTGTAATATAGGTATATATTTGTATTTTGTGACAAAATTGTGTGCAAAGATTGATGATGTCATGAGTTTTGGTGACATGATCACAGAAAATGATGATTTTAATTTGGTGACATGGGCAAAGAAAGTGATGATGTACAATTGTGGGGACACTGCATGTTCTTTCCCATGGGAACAGATGGAGATGATGTCATTGACTTTATTGATGGTAGAAAGAAATAGAGTTGGTAATGGGTTCCGAGGCCCCTCCGTCTGGATACTTGAAATATGCAGAGTGATTGAAGGAAGAGCGTATATCAAAAGAGTGCTAGTCAGTCACAACAGGCGAACAGGCTTGGTTCATCAATTTATTGTGGACTTGTTTTGCCACAACTTGGGCTGTCCTAAAGAATCTGTAGAAGTTACCTGTCTACTTGTGTTAGTTACCTGTGTACTTGTGTTAGTTACCTGTCTACTTGTGTTAGTTACCTGTGTACTTGTGTTAGTTACCTGTCTACTTGTGAAGTTACCTGTGTACTTGTGTAAGTTACCTGTCCTCTTGTCTTAGTTATGCTATTTCTGTACAGTCCAACTCTAAATTTTGAATATCTGACCAACTCCAGTAGCTGTAGGTATCTGAATATCAAATATACCGGAGGTTTTGGCATGACCATGTTTCTGGTATGTCTGTGTATAAGGTATATTAAAGAACATGTTCAGTGTTGTGCTGGTTTGTAGGGTATGATGGCAATGACTAAGCATTAGGTATAGACATTCAGACCTCTTGTGTCTACTTACACTTCTTCTCAAAAAACATATCTTAATGTTTCTGTCAAAACTGGTTATTCAAACAATAAGTTTAAAATTTAATGAAAAATAATCGAAGTCAAATAAATTGTATAGATAAAGTGACATCTGTCTCCCAGGTAGAAGGATGGTGGAAGGGTGGGAGGGTTATTATCATATCAAGGAAACAGTTCACAACATGGTGCACTTGAATTTTATATAGATGTTCGACAAGAAACTTGTAGTGAAAATGAGGCTGCATCCTGATTTTGTTGTTTACTTGATTTGATATTCAAGGATTTATATTCTCAGTATCACGACTAACAGGGTTTTGAGAGATGTAGTTTGATAGATACAATAGGGAAGTTTTGTGTTTGATATAATTCTCTTATTGAGAAGTATTATATGTATGCAATATGAAGCTGGACGTGTTAGATAATCGTAAGTTTGCTTGTTGGTGCCTTTGTTTACCTTGTACTTATTTGGAAATGTGAGAGTACTTAATTGGATAGACCAAGATTTACATGGTGGATGTCTTCGATAAAGCTGAAGATGTTTACCATAATCCGCAACACCATGTCTTATTCTCCTTGGACTTTTTCCGGAGTCCCCATGTCAATTTTCCTTTTATTTATATTTAGCCATAGTTTTATCAATTTTTGTATTTGAATGAATATTCTTTTACTAATGCTATTGTCTTTGTTTTTTTTCCCAATATGTTATGCTTTTATATTAGAAATTGTGAGAAAAAGTTGTCTTCCTTGATGATAAATTATGCTGGAATAAGGTTACAGCATACAGCTTTAGCAGCACAATGCATAACTCATCCCATTAGGTAGATAGGAATGGATTTAATGTGTATCATGTTGTTCTGTAACCCTCAAGGGTCAAAAGTTCAGAGGGTTTGTTTGTGGTTGTAAGAGGTCAGACAGCTTTGTTACATAACCCTGTCTGTTATGATGAATTACCTGGACAAGGTGATGGGAGAGCTAGAGACAAGATGTCACATATGAACTGAAGGTCATGTTCCATCTACAGTGGGACACCAGGACATACTGTGGTTGTCAGACTGGATCATGGTGATCGTGCTTAATAAATATCTATGGTATTCATGGTTACGCTTGAGTGAACATACGTAGGTATTATGATTAGGACAGAAGAGTGACTTTGTTAGAACATGCCTACCTGAGCAGATAGTTTCTGTCGATGAGGACACATATGTTTCAAAACTTGGCTTAATGTTGTTAGATGACATTGATACTTCTGCGAGACCTATTGGGGATCTGCTAGATCAGTTTTACCATACGCACACCTACGCACATCTACATAAAATTTATTTCATCTTTAGCCTCTATCCCATTCTCCTGATCTGAAACAAGTCATGTAAAATTTATAGTTATATGCTAGTATCACAGGACCGTGTTCCACATACAATTCACATAACCTCCCCCACATGAATTATTAATCCGTGTCCATCAGCCCCCTCAGTGATAATGCTTTGTCCACATTAAGGTATCTCTCTACTCCTGGCATATTGACCTTGATTAAAAATAAACATAACAGTTCTGCAGGCAAATAAAAATATTTGATCATGAATATGATAGATATCATGATTTCTGGAGATCAAATTGTTGTATGATGATGATTTCTGGAGATCAAATTGTTGTATGATGATTTCTGGAGATCAAATTGTTGTATGATGATGATTTCTGGAGATCAAATTGTTGTATGATGATGATTTCTGGAGATCAAATTGTTGTATGATGATTTCTGGAGATCAAATTGTTGTCTGATGATGATTTCTGGAGATCAAATTGTTGTCTGATGATGATTTCTGGAGATCAAATTGTTGTCTGATGATGATTTCTGGAGATCAAATTGTTGTATGATGATGATTTCTGGAGATCAAATTGTTGTATGATGATTTCTGGAGATCAAATTGTTGTCTGATGATGATTTCTGGAGATCAAATTGTTGTATGATGATGATTTCTGGAGATCAAATTGTTGTATGATGATGATTTCTGGAGATCAAATTGTTGTCTGATGATGATTTCTGGAGATCAAATTGTTGTCTGATGATGATTTCTGGAGATCAAATTGTTGTATGATGATGATTTCTGGAGATCAAATTGTTGTCTGATGATGATTTCTGGAGATCAAATTGTTGTCTGATGATGATTTCTGGAGATCAAATTGTTGTCTGATGATGATTTCTGGAGATCAAATTGTTGTCTGATGATGATTTCTGGAGATCAAATTGTTGTATGATGATGATTTCTGGAGATCAAATTGTTGTATGATGATTTCTGGAGATCAAATTGTTGTATGATGATGATTTCTGGAGATCAAATTGTTGTATGATGATGATTTCTGGAGATCAAATTGTTGTATGATGATGATTTCTGGAGATCAAATTTTGGTTGTAATTTTGATCAGGTTTTTAAGCCATACAAATGTGTGGGTTTTTTTTTTTTTTTTTTTGTAGGGGGTGGGGTGGGGAGGGGGGTGGCGGGAGAGGAGGAAGTCATTATTAAAAGGAATATAGTTTTCTTTAATGATTTAAATTTGAAGATATCAGTTTAAATTTGTGGAAAAAAAGATATTAGAACCAGTTGAAAATGGCATCTGTTTACAATATCAGAACATCATAATGCCACGATGCAACTAGGATCACTCTCATATCAACCTTATGAGATTGGCTTCTAGCTGTGGTGATGCCAGTGTAGTGCTGTAGTTGAGAGAGGTTATATATGAAAATTGTCTATACTGGTCTGCCATTGGTGCTACTTACCTTGACTTCCATACTTCAGGAACACACATTTGGTTGTTGTGTATGGTATTTCTGGCACTTGTATTGGTTAAAAATTTACAATAAGAAAACTGTAGCTTTTGGGAGTTTGTTATCTTCAGTGAAAAAAAAAGATAGAAAGCTATAAAAAATCAAACTATTACAAAAAACAATCGTAAACTACTTATTGGACATTCTAATTTGTGTGAGTGCATGAAGGGTCTTTTTGTACAAAGTTCACCCTATCAGCCAATCAAAACATGTTAAAGTGTTACACCATGTGTGGTATAACATTATCAGTTTACCTCGCTTGGTCATCCATTACCTGATTCAGTCTAAAAAGTCACAAGTACAACTCTTAAAATGTCAGTAATACCAGAAAGCTCTGTACTTAAAATTATCTTTGGTTGCCTGCAAGGGCATTCATCTAGTTTTTATATTCCTAGCCAGTATTTATTGGCACCAAATACTTGATCTATAGAAGTTTGTAAACAACATGCCTCTTGGGGATCACAATGGAATTTTGCCAGAAGAAAAAGACAATACAAAAGTGATTTTGACTCCTTTAGTTATACCTTTGTAGATGAATGAAAATGTGTAAAATGGATACTGACTGGGGCTCCAATCATAATAATTAATTTTACGAGAAATTCTAGTTTATGTAGGAGAGTAAACCACAAAGATCTTAGCATGATGTTTTGAGCTTAGGTAGAACTTGAGGCTGAATGTTTTGTATTTGTGAGGATGTTTAGGTGGCTTCCTCTGTGGTTACAGAATCGTGGCTGGCAGATTCCCATATGGCATTAGAGGAATGTCTGCTATGTGCTATGTGTATAGTTATGTTGTGGTGGCTAGGAGATGGGGTCTCTGTTCTAAGAACAAGCATCAGACTGTTGTATACAGATCTATTGGGCTCTGAAGGAGAGCTACATGTGTTTCAGTTTAGATTTTGTTTCTGAGTTGGGATGTGAATCAATGTAGTTATGATCCAAAAACTTCAAATCAATTCAACATAATCTGTAGACAAACAAACCTGGAGAA